TATTTTTTTAACTTTTTGATGGACGTTGAAAATATCTCATACCGGCAGCTTTCAAGAACGCTGGAATGTCAATACGACCGTCATCATAACGTTGCCATAATTTCATTAGACATTCATCTGTTATAACCTTGTTTTTTCGACGTTTTGGAGCTGGAGCTCCCATACCATCTCGTACTCGTGCAGTCGATGCTAGTGATTGTTCCTTTTGGAGTAAATCAATAGCAATATAAATGTTTGGATGAGGTGAACTTACGTGTTTTTTCATTCGAGAATGTCGACCTTCCAAATAGTTAATTGTTCGAGGTGTTATATTACGATAATGTTTATACATATGAGGCGGAAATCGACTGAATGGTCCATATGTATTATGATAATAATCAATAAATCCTTGAATACCTGGATAGTCTGGTTGCGTACGAATTAGTCACTGCAAACCCCGTAACATATGCTTTAATGGTAATAACGATAACGCTGCAAAAGATCTGAACCAATCACGTAGATTTTCGTCATCTTTGTACTGTGTTTTTAAACCAAGATCAACAAATTTACGATATAGACTTTGTCCAAAATGAAATAAACAACCTCGAACAATAATACTTGGATAATACTTGGTAAATACATTGGAAACACCTAATTCAAAATCAACTGTAACAGTTCGTAACTTGATAACTAACTGGAATTCGGACATTTTTCTGAAAAGTACTGAAAACAAATCAACATAAGTTTCTTCTGACTTACCTCGAAGTAACGCGAAAACGCATGGGGTTGACATTCCATCGTAATATGCATGAATCGAATATATTTGATAAAAAATGGATGGACATGTATAAAATGTACCATCACTGTACCAGTGTTCTTATTGTGATAGATAAACGATATCATTATAGGACGCAAAAACGAGTGAACAAGTACCACCAAGTGACCCATCGTATAATAAAAATAACTCACTTTTTGTTGTTTTGCAATAAACGTCGGGTAATGTATACGGAAGTTGTTCAATCGATTGGGGAATTGGTGGACGAATCTTACGACGTTGTTTTTGTAATGTATTTTTCATTATGTGAATCGACGATAAGTTAATAATCAAATCGCTGGATTGAGACTGACGATTAGCAGCGTGGTATGCTTCTTCGACTATACGATCTAATGGGCCAGATTCTTCCATAACTTTACGTTTTAAAGTTTTTCTAATTTGTAATATTTCCATATCAGTTCCATCAGGTAAATGTGTATGATCGTCACACACTACGACCGACGAGTCCGAATCACTTGTTGCCGTGGCGTTACACTTCACACATACCCAATACTCTGAACCATTTTGGTTTTTACGTTTGAGAGAATATCGATAACCGAGGTAACATAATTGTCTTTTGCCATGTGTAGATTCAACAAATTCAGCAGACATTATTAAAACTTCTTCTGACTTACCAGACATTATTAAAACAGTGTGAAAAGAGAGTGGTGTATCTGTACCTTTTATACATATTTTTATGAAGGTTATCATGTTATCACGACTACTCTACTTCCCAAATAAGTATTAAAAATTAATCAATTTGGTTCATCATTCCCTTATTGATGAATGTTTGCTGTGCTTGGAAATTTATTCGTTGTCGCAATGAATATTAGTGGATAATTAGTGGAAACTGAATCCTTATATAAAAAAGTGGCTAATTGAGATATATTTCTATATAATCAACGGAAAGTAAATCCGTATATAAGAAAATTATACTTTTCTATGAAAAAAAGCTAATGAAAATAGAAATTAATCAATGGTAAATCCGCGGACAGTAAATCGTGCACTCGGTTGATACGTATCAATATGGACTAGTTCGTTTTTCTAAACCTGGATACAACTTCATGATAGAACTTAACCGTTTAATGGAACAGCTTTTGGAAAGAAACAATATTCATGAATGAGACAATGGCAAGGATCTGACAAAACGAGAGGTTGAAAGTTTACAACAATTGTGATAATAAACTGAAGGAATATTTTACACGATATGAAAATGGTACTTTGTTTGGAACTAAACTTGCAACTAAATGTGGCAAATGTGTTAATACTGTAAAATTACCTGTTTCATTGTAGCTCGTAAATAGAATAATAAATGTAAGTTATAAAGCCATCTACCAATTTCTTACATTATCTTAATGAATAATATTAATATTGATTAGTGTACAATTGATAGAAAGAAAATGAATAGTTATAAAATGAGTAGAATGCTAGAAAATAAACGGGACGAAACGAGTGTGCGACGAAATAAGTATGGAACGAAATGAGAGTAATCCCTTTGAATACTCTGTTGAATGGTATATAATTTAAAAACTTCGGTAAAACATTGAAAAATTATAGTTAAAAATATTAAGGTGTACATTTTCCGTAAGTTTATTCGACAAGAGAAAAGCTTTTATGACTTTACAAGAAAAGATGCAAAAGTATTTAACTTTTCAAAAATATAAAATACAGACAAGTTCCTCCACGGTCACCCTGCACAAACATTGATAAGGAAAGATTGCAGAATGCTGCAAGATAGACATGGCGGGCAAAATCCACAAGCTACTACTTTTTATCATCACGAAAAAATCCTACAGACCTTGAAGGGTTTGCGTATTGAGATACCTTATGTATTACAAGTGATAAGAGAAAGGGCAAAATTCCGCAGGCTATGCAAAGTGAAGGATTTGCGAGATATATCGCATGAACGCATATAAAAGTTTCCGCATGGTGTGCCTAGAGAAGAATTCTCCAAGACCCTGCAGAAAAGAAACTTGAAAAGTGAGCGTGTTGAAGAATCCTGCTTAATTATACTCACCAACCTGCAGGAAAATTTTCGGCTAGGTAACGTGATATAAAAACCTGCAGCATATATCCAACATTCACAGGATTTTCTCAGATTCGTAAATTCGTAAAATTTTTTCCAGTGGGTAGACGAAAGGTTAGAAGCTTACAGTACGAAACGGTATTCGCATTCTAAAGGAGAGACCGTCGTGTGAAATCATAGTAGTTACAAAGCACGTGAATTGAGATCGTTTAATACAAGATGCTTGAAAGAGAAGTTAGTATCTTTCAGAATTTCTTTTATGTACGTTTTCGAAAAACTGTCCTCTCCTTCAAACCCCATAAATGTTTTTGCAGGATTTTTGGGCAATCAGATAAAAGATTTTAAAGCCAAAACTAGTAATCATATTGAACAGATTTTTGTTTTGATGCACAGCTCACTGTTTCGTTAATAGTTCTTGTTGAAACCTCTTTTCCAGCCGGTTGGTGAAGCATTAGCAGTAACCACTATATTGGCGAGGTGGATGGAAATCCAGAAGTAATGTATGTCCAAGTTGGTCTTCGCGCAATAAGTGCATAGCTTTTGGGTACGAATCATTGGTCCGTCAAACTGGAACTCTCTAATGGTCGATGGGTTTGTGCTATGAAGCATACAAATGGAGCTATCACGGCGCACGTCTATACGAGCGAACGCGCCGCTGCCCTCCGTACCTGTCCTGTCCGGAACGGATACCGTGTTCGCCTCTCGAGATACGGAAAACCACATAAGAAAATGTACTGGTCTGATGTGGTTGAGTGGTTGATAGCGAGGCAAGGTGAATTTTACATACTTGGTATCGCCGATTGTCAGAATTTCTGCCGACAGTTGGTTGACTTCTTAACAGACAAAGTGGTGGGCGTATGGCCGATCGAAGACGGCAACGAATACGATGATTGATGACTCAAAGGGTCTTGTTCTATTTCGCTGAAAGTTTTATGTAATCGCGAAGTTTCTTTTTCCTTTATAATTCCGTTTGATTGCGGAAGAAAGGTCCCGATGAGCCGATGAATCTTCTGTGCTGCCGCTTTTTCGTTTCGCAATAAAAGTTTATTTAAACAATCTAGAGTACTGTATTATACTACAGAAGTGTATCATCAAAATAAGAATATTTTCCTCAATGACGCTTTTTTACTACATATACTAAAATACACTCTCTTCACTACTATTCCCGTCCGACGAGTTGTTCGACTTTTTTTGGTGCAATTTGATGAGAGGATCATTGCATTGTATCTCATCGAAGTAAATGTTGGTTTGTGAATTACCATGAATGAGACGGCGGGTTGCTGCCTCCTCATGGTACTGTGTCACTCTGACGATGCTTGACATCGGCGCCAACACAGCAATGGGTATGAATGTCAGTTTGATGTGACTTTCGAAGTCGATTCTATAGTATTCAGGTAACAGACTACTAAACATGGGGAAAACAGGTTTAGGATATGAACTAGCATTCCTTAATGGAGTTCCTCTTTTTTGCCATTTTTTAGGTAAATGTTTTGTTTTTTCCCCCTTGTACATATTCTTGTACAGCTCGATCGGCTCTGCACGATAAATTATGTTTCATATTTTTATCTGACACATTCAAATTCTGATTTTGAAAAAAGTAAAAGGTCGTCACTATTTGGCGCCTTTCACCCACGCTCTTTAAAACTTGCAATATCTCTCGAACGATAAATCGGTTTGGTCGGTAGAGATGTCAAAATGCAGAGAACACTTGGGGCTATGAACAAAAGTTATAGTACGATGCTCTACCAATATAATTTTATTCGATCGATGTTTCTCCACCGACACCGCCGCTTTTAGGTTTTTTCGAGCCTTCGGTTGTTTCCATTTAAGTAAACTAGTTTATTTCTAACAAACATGAAATTCTAAGACATTGGAAAATGACATAAAGTCTGGTAAAGTCTAGTTTATTAGTTCTTGACTGAGTTGTAGGACTCGACACTTCAAATCCTGCTGGTGACGCACTTGCTAAAATACTGCTTTCAAACGATGATGAACCTGAACAAAAAATGAAACACAAAACACCAGGCGGAAAAACGGAATGACTTAGTGCAACATAAATAATTATCTGATTCGATATTGCAAAAAGAGAAATGAAAATAATAAAGCAGCAAATGAAAATTATATCAGCAGAGCAGAATCGTGAAGTCAGGAATCGGTCCACCCTGCAAAAGTGGTCTCGTAAGTAGTAAAAATGTGTTCCTGTTCGATCCCAGGTAAAATCGAATGGTTTTGTATCCGAAAATCACATTAATTTATTGACAATATCATCCCAATCGGCACCCTTAAAACAACGCAAAAATCATAAGTAAAAGCCGTTTTCCTCACATTTTCTACACCTAAACGGCAAGGTAAATATACTGTTGGATAGACCTTGAAATTCTCTAGAAACTGAGTAAATCAGATACTCTAGATCGGTCGGCTCGGTCATCAAGAACATCGTTGGACCTACTGGAAACAACGGAAGAATGCTCCGGTAGAGGTCTTTCCGGTCATAATGAAAATATATACATTTTTTAAAAATATACCTAGGCTTTCAGCCTTATAATTCAGTTTAATCGACAATCTTTCTGCAGAAAGATTAAGAAGCTATACATTATTCGATGCAGGTTTTTTGCGCTGATTCCGGATATGGCATTTTTATTGAATAAAAACCTTTCTAAGCCGAGATAAATGGAAAATACCTGGAAAACCTAGGAGTTTTGAAAACCTCATATCTCAGCTCAGCAGTGTTTATCCTAATTTATGCTAACAGCTAGTGTATAGGAGAACACTTTCCGAAAGTCTGAAACGGGTTTGGAGTTGGGCTGTATACGGTGCATTGATTCTATCAAAGATAGCTTCTAGGAAAAACCCGCTAGGAAATGTTTTACAATATTTTTCCGACGTGACGAATCCAAAATCAATACTGTTTTAGAATTCAATAGGTTATTTCATGCGGATTTTAGATATGTATTCATT